AGTCTACCACCAGATGCAGCTTAATTGTTGCTTGCCACTCACTGATAGGGTTTTGATATGAATCTGCAAGCAATTGATTTGTTATGGTCTCTGTGTATAATTCCCCTCTAACATTAGTCTGTATTGCAGCCACTCCCCAGTGCTACCAACAGTGCCTCAGCTCCACGTCAGATCATCAGTCATTAGATTCTCATAAGGAGTGTGCACCTTACATCCCTTGCATGTGCAGTTCACCAAAGGGTTCACACTCCTATGAAAATCTAATGCTGCCGTTGATCTGACGGGAGGTGGAGCTTAGGCAGTAATGTGAGTTATGGGGAGCATTTGTAAACACAGATGAAGCTCCATTTGTTCACCTGCCACTCACCTCCAGCTGTGTAGCCCGGTTCCTAACAGGGCCAGGGACTGGGGACCCCTGAAATAAAAGATTCATAAGACTTACGTGTACATCACAATTTCTAAGAAGTACTGTGGAAAGGAATTCTCTGGGCATTATCAGACATGTCTGTACACATAGAATCCTTTTATTTATACAGAGTAATAGGGTTCAGAATCTTCTAAACTTGGAATCCACTGAAAATGCTCAGTCAATGCCAGTTAACTAAAATGAGTTGGTTCAGGTCCAATGTGAGCAATGATCTATTTAATTGCATTCTCTCCTCAGTTTCTGCCTTTTCTATGCATTGGCCAATGACTTTCTCATTATCCTAAGGATTACTACAACCCCGTAGCTATTCTGCCCATTTCCTCTCCTGCCTCTTTGCAGACCATGTTCCACACAACAGACAAATAATCTTTATAAGATTTTAACTAAATCATGTCACTCTGCTCAAAATCTGCAAAATCTTAGCAGCTTAGAATAAAATTCAAAGCTTTTATCACGGGCTACTAGACCCTATAGAATCTGGGCTCCAGGCCCCTGCCCCACCTCCTCTTCTAGATTATTCTCACCTATTCTACTCAAGCAATGATTACCATTTTGCTCTTTCTAAAACAGTGTGTTAAACTTAATCCTGTTAAACCTGTTTCCACTCTCCACTCGGGACCTTTGCCTTTCCTGTTTCTTATTATAATAATTTTCTACAAATCGCTAAATGATTCCTTTTCTCACATCACTTAATTCTTTGTTCAAATATTACCTTATCATCAAGGATCTCTTAGAAATGCAACATAGTAAATAACATATCTTGCTCTTCCTTTTTGTTTCACCCTGCTGTTTTCATCTTAGTTTGTATCACTTCGTATCAGCTCTGTGAGGCCAGGAATATTATTATTTTTTTCATTAATGTGATCCCTGATACAAATATTTGTTGAATCAACAAAGGAATAAAGAATAAATAAATGGATGAATCCTTTTCTTTTTGAACAAGTTATTTCCAAAAGATGCATAGTAATATGAATATGTAATAAGAATTTTTATGTCTCCAAGTAAAATCAATAGAGGCTTTCGGTTCAAGTTTATAATTTTAACCACAAAGGGATATCTGCATGAGAATCTTCTCCCCACATTGATTACTCCACAACACTTGGACGTTTAACTCTGTACCTTGCAAAATGCTCTTAGGACTTTTTCTTGTGCATATTATTAATGCTATTAATTTTTTATTCATTCTTTATCCATATTTTTCATAAGACATTTTAGGTATCTTTCCATTTTCGGAGTCCATCATAGCAGCCCACGAAGCCCTAGATAACAGGATCATGTCCCTTTAACTTGTGTGGTAAAGCACCCAGTGCTGAGCCGTATGTATACTGTACTGCACAAAAGCCTTTTAATGATGAATTAGATTTTGATTTCGGTTCGTTACGCCTGGGTTTTCACACAATGTTCCAGATTTCATGCTTTTGTTTATAATGAGTCATGGCCCCCTTGACAAACAAGAGAGTAATTAAACTAACCAGGTTATCAATAGAAGCTTGTGATGGATCTCCTGTTGCATATGGTTATTTCATCTTCAATAATAATTAGATATCATAAAAGATTACAGCCTGTTTGTGTGACAGGAAAGAGAGATTAAAGCAGGTGAGAACAATAGTGAAAATACAAGCTTACCTGTACCTGTTATGAGCAGTGTCTTAATAATTGACAAGTACATGGAGTTTTATTTATAGTTTTTTAATATATTTCATTGACTTTTGTAGGTGACATGAAACTTTGCTTAACAAAATAACTTTAAAATTATGAAATGATTTCTTATATTGTGTTTGTGAATATACATATATGTATATACACCCATATATATAAGGGTGTATATACATATATGTACATTATAAATGTTATACATATATGATATTATATATATAAAACCAGGTGTGTGTTGGTGTATATATATGTATCTATATTATCTTGTAACAGTTCTTATGCAAACATTTTTTGGAAATATTATTTCATTAATTTTCACCAATTTATTAGCAAGTACTTTAACAAAAATATTTTCCTTGCAATGTTTTCTAGAACTATAAATAATAAGAATAAAAACACCACAGAGAAATAGAAGTGCAATAATTTTTCATATGTTGAAAACTATATATTCAGTGTTCACTGAATATTGATAAAACATTAAACACTGTACTTTTTCATTGCTTTCCAAATAAATCAAAATATATCCACAGTGCACACTTAGGCCATATTTCTGAATGAACTAGTTTTTGTATCTTCAAGATTCTAGTTGTTGAATAATTTGCTATAGTGTTATTTGAAATATGAATTATAGTATGTTAAAAACTTGGTAGAAAAGGAAATGTTTATGAAAAGATGCATACATACAATCCTAGTGTTTCTCTCCAAAATTCTTTTTTCTTTCTTTTTTTTTTTTTTTTTTTGAGATGGAGTTTTGCTTTTGTTGCCCAGGCTGAAGTGCAATGGCAGTCTTAACTCACTGCAACTTCTGCCCGCCGGGTTAAAGCGATTCTCCTGCTTCAGCCTCCCAAGTAGCTGGGATTACAGGGGCCCACCACTATGCCTGAGTAATTTTTGTAATTTTAGTAGAGACAGGGTTTCACCATGTTGGCCAGTCGGGTCTCGAACCCCTGACCTCAGGTGATTCACCCGCCTCAGCCCGTCAAACTGCTGGGATTACAAGTGTGATCTACTGTGCCCAACCCCCTCCAAAATTCTTCTATTTATAGTCCTTTTCATCTGAGTCAATAACCTTTCAGCTACTCAAGCCAAATTACATCACCCTTGACTCCTCTTTTTTTTCTCTATGTCACTTCAGTCTGTCTAGAAATCTTATCAGCTCCACCTTCACAGTAGACCACAAGCCCAATAACTTTCCACCACTCCCACTGCTACCACCCTGACGTGAGCCACCCACCTTCATTGGCCTTGCTTACTGCATTCCCTACTTTATCCCTAGACTTTTATCCTAGCCTCACGATGGTCTTTTTTCAACACAGCAGTCAGAGTCATCTTTTCAAAAAACCGATCAGATTTTATCACTACTCTGCAGGGATTCACCATTTGTCCTAGAATAAAAGTCAATTCCTTGAAATGACCCAAGAGGTCCTACCCAATCTTCCATCCTTTGTTTCTCTTTGGTATAAACTTGGAATCCACTGAAAATTGTTCCTATCTGCTCCTGCTCTCCTTTCTCTTGTATCGGCCACACCAATCTTGCTATTTCTTAAACAAACTAGGCTAGCTTCAGCCTCAGTGTCTTACTGCAAGCTCTTCCCTCTTCCTACAAGGCTTTGTCTCTAAATATCCACATAGCTAACTCACTCATTCACATCTAGTTTTTGTGCAAATCTTAGCATCTCAATGAGGCCTACTCAGATTACCCTATCGAAAACTTCAATCCATTCCTTTCTCTGATTCCTCTTACCTTGCAACTATAACGGTTTTGTTTTTATTTTACTGTATTGTTTATCACCTTCTAACATTTTATTTAAACTACTAATTTGCGACATCTGCTGCTTATAGTCTGTCTCCTCATTTGTTACCCCATCTAGAATATAAGCTTCATCACCCCAGGGCAATTAACTGCTTTGTTCCTTGAGAAATGCCTGGCACATGTTGACAGCTGAATAAGTATGTGAAGGATAAAAAAAAAAAAGTTATGCTGCAAAAAAAAGGTTTTTAAGCATCACACTGTGCCTGGCACTGTGCAATAATCTTGGAATATACAAAGATGAATCAGATATTTATCCCTGCCTCCAAAGAACTGAAAAGGAAGTCTGGCATACCCATAAATACAGTACATGATACAATGCAATACATTTCTATCAATATATGATAGAACGTTCATGGTATGAGAGATCCAGATACGCAGAGGAGGGGAAACTTTTTCTTGCTAGAGCAATAGGGAAGAGCATGGAGACACTGATGCCTAAAATGGATCTTGAATCTGTGGAAATGGGAAAAACAGCATTCAGACAGAAGAAACTACATTAAAGAAAAAAATCACTAAATTACTAAAGCATAGGGAGGAGGCAGGAAAAAACACAGAATATGTCAAGAGCCCAGGCTTTGAGTTAACACGCCTGACTTCAAAGCCAACTTCTGCAACTAAGTAGCTGTGTGACCTTGACAATTCAGTTAACATCTCTGAACTTTAGTTTTCACATTTGTAAAATTGAGATAATACCATCAAGCTTAGAGTATTTTTGTGAGAAAATGGAGAATGTAAAGCACCTAGCCCAGTGACTGGCTCCCTGTGATCACTCAATAGATGAGAACTATTATTACAGTAGAGTTGGACTGGAGTACAGATGAAGTGTTACCCTCACCAATGCCATTTTTCCAATAGGAAGGAAGGCCAAAATGTATTGCATTTATTCTGCACTCCCTGAAAACATTCATCTGTTGCTCAACTTGAAAAATGAAGCTGAAAATGACTAGTCTTGTATTTGAAGCATAAAACACTGAAAATATGATGCATTGGTCTATCAGGCACAAGTTTGCTTTGAATATAGAAGGAATAAAAATATATGCGTGTCATATTTCTGTTGAGGATTATTTGTACTTATCCACTAGTATTTGTTTGTTTCTTTTGCAGTTGCTCCTACTATTCAGGAAATTAAATCTGGCACCGTGACCCCAGGACGCAGTGGCCTGATAAGATGCGAAGGTGCAGGTGTGCCGCCTCCAGCCTTTGAATGGTACAAAGGAGAGAAGAAGTAAGGACTTTGTGATTATTACTGTGTTCTAAGCACTTTGAGATAATGTGTTTGTTTTTCAGATACTTACTTTAGGCAATTTCTTTAACTGGCTTGAATGATTCTCAGCAGCCTTCTCTCCAGCAAGCAAACTGAAGGGGCCCATGTGGGAGGGATGAGTAGCTAATAGCATCCAGAAGAAATGTCCACTTTGGTTTGTGTGATCTCAGAAATGCCTGCAAATCCCCCATCACTGATGCATTTCATTTCTTCCCCTCCCTCCTGAAACACCACACCATTGCTCTTGCTGGCAACTCAGTTTATTTGGGAAGTAAACCAGCTCTTAAAGGACTTGAGTACAGCTTCCACAAGAGCACTTCAAAAGCAATAGGAATTGCTGTCTTTGCCTGGCTTCCTTGATACGCCTCAATCCTTTCACCTGCCTTATTCTCCCACAAGATAGTTTAACATTTTGTTGTATAGGACACTGTGTTTTAGAGATTCTGTCACTAAAGAGACTGTAGAGGAGATAAAATGCATGCCTACAGGACTAACCAATGGGATTTTAGGGTTGCTCTAATTTCAACTCTGTGTGATTACTCCCTTGAGAAGACCCAAAAATCTTGGCAAGAGCTACTGAATAAGATAAGACAGGACTTGACAACTTTCTCTTTACTTTCAGCCAGTAGGCTCATTCAGACCTCTTCAAATGCTGTTATCAAGCCAGCAAAAAAGTCACAGGATCCCTGTGGGTAAACTGGAGTCTATAATGCAGAGAAGAGGGAATTATCTATACTGTATAGATTCTGCATCAAAACTAGGGAGGAATATATTCAAGCAAATGCTAGGTTAAACTATATGGAATTCCCACTTTCAAAGTCAAAAAAGCCAAGTGTTGGCAATTCCATACTGTACAACATGTGTGTGTGTGTATATATATGGCATATATACCATATATGTGTGTGTGTATATATATACCATATATATGGTTTACACACACACACACATAGAGAGAGAGAGAGTTTACATACTGTATTAGTCCGTTCTCATGCTGCTATAAAGAACTGCCCAAGACTGGGTAACTTATGAAGGAGAGAGGTTTAATTGACTCACAGTTCCACAGGACTAGGGAGGCCACAGGAAACTTACAGTCACAGTGGAAGGGGAAGCAAACACATCCTTCTTCACTAGGCGGCAGAAGAGAGAAGTGCCGAACAAAAGGGGGAAAACTCCCTTATCAAACCTTCAGACCTTGTGCGAACTCACTCACTATCATGAGAACAGAATGGGGGAACTGCCCGCATGATCTAATCACAGCCCATGGCTCTCTCCCCCAACACATGGGGATTACAATTCAGATTAAATCCAGGATGAGATTTTGGGTGAGACACCTCCAAATGATATCATTTACTTATGTCATGGCTCATAATAAATTTCAGCTAAATATCTGAACAGAAAACTGGTGAAATTATATAAGGACTTAGATATTACCACAAAGGATAAGAATGTATGTGATACCAGCAGGTATTTTTTTTCTGGAACTGGAATGAAAAGATTTGTGGAAGACAATATCCCTTTTTACAATCAATCTTAATAATAAGGGAGAATATCCCCAGAACTGTCTCATTTCTTCTGACTGGTTTTGCCTAAAAAAATTTTTAGCTATTTTATATGCAACTTATTCTATAATTTGGGTTGTTCAATTTTTAAATTCTTTCTACTAATTTATATGCTTTTGCCAATTCTAAATTTGCCTTTTTGTAGCTTAGTAGAAGACTCCATATTTTTATATACTGAGAATTAGGTAAACTGGTCTGTGGTCACTCTCATTTCACCCTACAATATTGTACATCTGCCAATATAGCCTTTCTCAGATTTTGATAACCCAGGTTGAGAAGTTTCAGTTTGTAATTATCTATATGGACAAATATCCAGAAAAGTGGTTCTCAATCCTTTGTAAGTTATGGAACTCTTTGTTCACGTACAATCTTATTTGGAAGCCCAAGAAGTAATATTTATGAACACAGCACTTCTCTAGAAGATGCTGGGTAAATGGAGTCTCAATTCTACCTGTTCACAACCCTCCTATAAATTAGGACATCGTTGCAGGAGTCCCCCAAATCCCTGGTTCTCTACAAAACACTGTATAAATATCACTGACAGACTATTTTATGTACCTTTCAAAGTCACTTTTTAATTTGTGTCATTAATTTCTTAAAAGCTAACAATCAGAGCTTCTTTGTTAAAGGCCATTTTGTTTCCAGTACTTTCTGAAGCAATGTCCTGGATTTTTTTTCTGCTCTCCCTTTTTCTCTTTTCTAAATTCAGCAACCATTGTCAAAAAAAGAAAAAAAAAATCCTACAATAATCCTCGGTCCACTTTCTTGGCCTATAGTAAATATAGAAAAGGGCCAATTGGTGCCCACAATCATAGCTTCAGTGATTTTTTTTGTGTGTGTGCTGTGGAGATGGACTACAGCTTTTATTAGATTTTCAAAGGAGTTCAGAACCATTTGCTAAAAAGGAAAAAGTAGATTGATTTTCCCCAATCAATGTCCTCCCCAACACACTCACACACCTAGAAAAATGCAGCTGTGAAAATCAAATGCACTTGTGAAAGGCAAGCATATTTTCAGTTCAGAGTGAAGCATACATTTATCATCTTTAGGGATATATTTGAGGCAATATTCAAATTCTCAAATATCATGGTAATGATTAATTTCCTTTCAAAACTAAAGTAAAGCAAAGTTGAGCATACGCATGGAGTAGGAAAGAGAAGGATTCTGGTTGCTGAATGGTTGCACTCACTATGTAGATTCACCATAAACGCCCAAGCCATTCAATTATTTACTTCATCAAAATCAAAAGCTATTCAGGGACGGTGCCTTACGCCTGTAATCCCAGCACTTTGGGAGGCAAAGACGGGTGGATCACGAGGTCATGAGATTCAGACCACCCTGGTCAACATGGTGAAACCCCATCTCTACTAAAAATAAAACAAATTAGCTGGGCATGGTGACAGGCACCTGTAGTCCCAGCTACTCAGGAGGCTGAGGCAGGAGAATCGCTTGAACCCGGGAGGCGGAAACTGCAGTGAGCCGAGATCATGCCACTACACTCCCGCCTGGAGACAGAGCAAGACTCTGTCTCAAAAAAATAAAAAAATGAAAAAATAAAAATAAATAAAGAGCTATCTATTTAGCAAGCACCTGCTGTTGGACAGGTAGTGTTCTAAGTTACTAATATTTATCCATTTTACTCTTTTTTTTTTTTCTTTTTCTTTTTTTGAGACGGAGTCTCGCTCTGTCGCCCAGCCTGGAGTGCAATGGAGCAATCTCAGCTCACTGCAAGCTCCGCTTCCTGGGTTCACGCCATTCTCCCGCCTTAGCGTCCCGAGCAGCTGGGATTACAGGCGCCCACCACACGCCTGGCTAATTTTTTGTATTTTTAGTAGAGACGGGGTTTCACCGTGTTAGCCAGGATGGTCTCCATCTCCTGGCCTCATGATCAGCCCGCCTCCGCCTCCCAAAGTGCTGGGATTACAGGCGTGAGCCACCGTGCCTGGCTACCCATTTTACTCTTAAAACAAACCTGTAAGGTAAATATGATTCTTAACTTTTGCCCGAGGAAACCAAAGCATATGCTTTTAAGTAATTTGCACAAGTTCATGCAGTTAGTGGCAGAACTGGGATTTAAACCCAGGAAGTCTTATAAATCTTCATGCAGAGTCTATGGGTTTAACCCCTATACTATGGCACCCAGTGTAGGTCAAGGCCCTTAAGAGTCTATCAAAACTTATTTGAAATGTCAATGTGAAATACCAAGACTAAAAGCATTCCAAGTTGTTTACGGATTTGCAAAATAAGAAACTGCACGTACAAACACTCACTTATAATTTGCCAATTTATTTAGTCAAGGACACAGAAAAATTGAGTCAAGAGGAACACAGCTGAAACAGATACAGCATGTTTCAGAGTTGATTTCTTGACCTCTGAGGTCTTTAACTGGGAACATGAAGCTGTCAGAGACCCTGTCAGAGAGGAACAGAGTTTATCTCTGCATGATCTAGAGTTTTGCTTCCTAGAGACTGTTTTTTTTTTTTTATTTCAGGCTTACATAAATACTCAGAAATAACTTATATGATCACTTTACTTCTATGTGAGAGAATGCTTATAAATATTCATTTATCTTAAATCAAGATCTTCAAAACCAGCTCTTCATCCAGATAAACATAAACAAATAAACACAAATGAAAAACAGAGGCAGTGCCTGAACATCCATAGCCCTATCTCTGCCTGCAGTTCTTCAACATCCTGTAAAGTCCATTTCTGTGTGCTAACAACAATCAGCTTAAAACCCCTTAAAAGAAAGACTGTAAAATTAAGCACAATTTAAAGAAAAGAAAGAAATATATAGTTACTGAGAGAAAAAAACACTTTCCAGTTTCTTTGAATTCTTTTATCTCATTTATTGTTCAGACCTCTGTGAGATAAGATTTACTGTCATCAATTTACTGTTGAAAAAACTGAGGCACAAGAGACTTAACCTGAAGAGCATTCAGCTTTGCATGACCATCAAGACATTTTAGATGTGATAACCTCTCGACCCATGTTCTTTCCCTTGTTTCTGATGCCACTATTAGTTATCTATTGCTAGGTGACAAATTAACCCAAAACTTAGCAGCTAAAACCAATAAGCACTAACTATCTCAAGCAGCCTGTGTGGGTCAGGAATCCAGGAGCAGTTTGGCTGGATGGTTATCACTCAGTGTCTCTCATAAGATTGCAGTCAAGATGTCACCTGGTGCTACTCATCTGAAGGCTTGACTGGGGCTGGAGAGTCTGCTTCCAAGATGACTGACCCACACACCAAGCAAGTAGTGCTAGTTATTGGCAGATGGACTCAGTTAATTGCCACGTGGATGTCCCCACAGGTAACAGGCTTCATCCAGTATTAGTGATCCAGGAGAGAGCTAGATAGAAGCTGCCATGTCCTTTATAACCTAGTTTCAAAAGTCATAC